GGAAGGGGATGGCGGGGGCTGGGGGCAGCCCCTCCGGACAGCGAGGCCATGGCTGGGGACGGCGCCCGGTGCCGTGTGAGGAGGCTCTGCCGCAGGGTGACACCCGGGTGTGTTCTCCCTCCAGCTCACCTGCCAGAGCTTTCAGTGCTCTGGGGAGAGGTGCTACCAGGACGGCGCCCGTGCCAACGAAACGGTGACCTGCCATAACGAGACTCACTGCCAGGTACGGAGGGGCAGGGGCCTGCGACAGGGACAGTCTGTGTTCCCTTTCTTTATACCAGGAACCCACAGTATTAAGTCTGTGTCGGTCTCCTGCTTCTCTCTCCGTGGCAGTCTGTCAGTTATTTCTGCTCCTTCGTAACAGCATCTCTTCGCACTCCTAGCGTTTTTTCCTTTGGCTCTGCTGTTGCAGCTTTATCGTTTCTCCAGCACAAACTACACAGCCGGGTGCAGCAGCGCCTGCGGCACGGAGCTGTGCAGGCCCAACAGCAGCGTCAGCACGCAGCCCTGCGCCCTGGACTGCTGCGCCTCCCCGCTCTGCCTGCAGCTCAATGCCAGCTCCTACGGTAACTGCCCGCGGGGTCCCTGGCGGTGGTGCCAGGTCTGGGGTGGATCCTGCTGCACAGGAGGGGACGGGAGGACAAAACCCGCTGCAGAGGGCTGGGTCGCTGCACCCCCTCTGCCCGGGGGCTCTGTCTCTCCCTGGGAGGGGGGCGAGGGGCCGCAGCGGGAGCCACGCTGGTGAGTCTGTCCGGCTGTGGGGGCTCCCCCGGGCCGAGTGCTGGGCGCAGCCTCATGGCACTTCTCGTGTGTCTGCAGGTGACCTGCCGCCCGCCACTGCGCCGCCTGCGACCACCACCACACCCCCCCGAGCTCCCCCCCGAAACGTAGGTACCGGCTGGGCAGATGCTGCTGCGACCACGGGCTCTCCCGGGCTGCGGGCCCACCTGAGCAGGGGGAGAGGGAAGGGTCCCTCCTGCACCTGCGCTACAGGGTCAAAAGCTGCCCCTGGAAAGGGAACAAAATCCTTAACGACCTTTGAAAGGAGAGTCTGTAAGGAGCCCTGGGAAACGCGCCTGCGCCCACGCCCGGCACTCAGATGGGTTGGAGCGGTCGGAAGGGGAGCAGCTGGGTGCTGAGCCCTGCTGGCAGCCGCAGGGGGGGCCCTGCAGCCTCCCCGGCCTGCCTGGCGGGGAAGGTGCTGATCTGCGCAGAGCCCTGTTAAGAGGAAGGAAAAGGAGGCTTGAAACTTGTTTGCTCTGCGGGTGTTTCTCTGAAGTTTCCTGCGGTTTCAGATGGGGTGCTGTTGGTCTTTGTATCTAAAATGCCCGAGACAGCACCAGCCAAGCACCGCAGGACAGAGAGGGGGAAGGAGCCCTCGGGCTCTCTGACGTTCAGTTCTCGTCCCGGGAGTCCGGCTCTCCGACCTATGAACAGACGGTGTCTCCTCTGGCCCTCTCTTTAGGGGAAAGTGTGTGCAGCGTTCTCCTGTCACGGGGACGGATGTTTCAGAGGCAAGAAGACTGTTGGTAGATGCCTTGTTGGGCAGGACTTCTGTGAGGTATGGCCTTGGCCTAAAGAGCAGGACAGCCCAGGAGCTGGGGAGTGCCCAGGGGCCTGGTGGTTCCTGCAATGCCAGTAGAAAGGTTTGCCAGGAGCCCCAGGCTAACATCTCTCTCCTCCTTCCAGATGAAGAAGACGGGCTTGAATTATGTGGCGGGATGCAGCAAAGCCTGCAAGGCTGCCAAACCAGCCTGTGCCGGGGGGATGAAGGCTGCCTGTTACCAGGAGTGCTGCCCAGCGACCCCGAGAGCCAGCTGCCTGAAACTGGATGGCAAAGTCCACATCAACAGCGCCGGGCGGGTGACTCTGGCCCCGCTCTTGAAGCTCATGGGGTGTGGGGTCGTCCTTCTCCTGAATTACGGGGTCTCTGCTCCCCTCGGGGGGTGAGCGGCTGTCCAGGTCTGCCCTCCAGCAGCGGAGCTCCGCAGCGCTCCTTAGGACCCCTCTTGCTCTCTGACTTCAGCCAAGGCCGCTCTCAAACCCCCTCTGTTAGTCCCCGTCCCAGGAAGGAGGTGGCCCGGCTGCGGGTGGCTGCTGCTCCCCCTGCCCGGGCGACTCCGGGCCTCCGGCTGCCGTGGCCGCGGCTGCAGGTTGCTGACGGGCTCTGGGCTCCGTTCCCGTTGTCCTGCAGCACCACGTTCCCGTTCTGCTTCGAGAAGAGGCTGCGGGCGTCTGCCCAGGGGTTGCCGCTTGGCGAAGGGCAGGTCCCAGCTGCAGGGTGAGCTGGTGCTCTGCTTCCCAACAGCAGCTCATCAGCTGCCCTAAGGGCTGGGGCCCTCCCCAAGCCCACAAAAAGTAAAGCATTCCCCCGGGGGCTGCTCGGGCGCCACGGTAGCACAGGACCAGGACCACCGCTCTTGCCCAACTGGCCGAAGATGGCCACCGCGGCTCCCCCAGGGCCTGCTCAGGGGCAGCTGCACTTGCTGCCAGGCACAGGTCCCTGCTGCTGATCCCAAACCCCCCTCCCACCCCCAGGCCCACTCTAAATCCTGCACCTCCCTGGGACGGCGAGTCCTGGCTCCTGGTTGGTGTCTCACGTTTCAGTGAATTTTAAATACTTGTAACCGAGCCTCCCCCAGTGCATCCAGAGGAAAAGCACATTATCTCTGAGCTGAGGAAGCTACAAGGAGGTATTTATTCTTCTTCCCCGCCCTGCCCCAAACCTGTAGTCCTGGGAGACTTGCAGGTAATTACTGAGAGCTGCGGCAGCGTGCGCCTCTGTGCTGCGGGGACTGCAGATGCTGGAACGAGTGACCTCAGGGGCAGGAATAAGAGGGTGTTAAGCCTGCTTAAAAACTAGAAAATTCTGCCTTGACTGAAGGCACAGGGCCTGCTCTAGTTAATAATCTGCTTGCAGCGCAGCCCTTCTGGGAACCCTCCTACTTGTTAGCTTAAAACTGCTCCGGTATTGAAATATCTCTTGTCTGGGTAGGTAGAATCAGTAACTGTGTTTCATCTCCAATTTTTAGGCAGGAAAATGGGATTAATGTAAACGTGTTGCACGCTTTAGATGATCCCGTTTCCCATCTGTGATTCTCTGCTGCTCCAGGCAGAGCAGGGACCACCCCCAGCGCTCCCCCCAGCCCTGCTGCCTCACCCCGAGCCGCCGTGTCGCTTCTCGGGTGGAATTCGCGCCGCCGACCCTGCGCCGCTGTCCCCTGCCGCTGCTGTCTCTTGAAAGAAAAGCTTGCAAAAATATAAACCCGTGTGTGTCAGGCCCCTGGCCGGTGATGGGGTGTTCGGGGCGCGGCTCGCGGGGATGAGGCGCTGCCGGCCCTCGGGCCCCTTGCGTGGCCACCAGCCCCACGGTTTCGCTCGCCAGCCCAGGCCAGGGGCCGCGGCGCCGG